GCAGAGCTAAAAGAGCTTTGTAACACTTGCCCGAGCGGGGCCGAGGCTGACAGGCCACAGAGAGGTGTGCCTGTGGGCATGGCTGAGAAGAGGCTGTCCTGATGGACGAACTGTATCTTGAGTGTTCCTGAACCCGAACTGTAACCTGTTACTTCCCTAATAACCCCCATAATCATGAGTATTGTCTGTGAGTTCTATGCGGCCACTGCAATGAGTTATAATGCTCAGCAGACAAGGAGAAGGTGCAGTGGGAGGGACGGTTGGTGTCAGAATCGGAGAAAGGGGGCATGTCTGACCTCCACCTCATAGGAATCAGCCTTGGACTATTCGTCTTGATCCTCTCGCCCCCTTGTGAAGTTAGAGGAGGTGAGACACCACACTCACACCATTTTTATACTCCCCCAGGTGACGAGGACATCCTCCTCCAGGCATCCAGAGACAGATGTGACGATGCCGCCGCAGCTCTGGGATATGCTGCATGGAGGGACCAGCACGACATGGAAGCCCTGTGGCCCCCCGCCCAGCAGCCCCCCTACGCAGCAGGTGTTCAGCGCTCACTCTGAGGTGTGATCCTCACCCCATCAACAGTGGGTTAGGACTGAACAATCGAAGGGTCTGGGCGGGCAATGACCCAGGTCCAGCCAGAGGAGAGAGGTCTTTATTGGTGGGGCGGGGGGTCCTCTGTAGAAGAGGCTTCAGGAAGCACCAGGCCCTCCTCTCTGTCGGACTTCGGAGGGGCCACAGCCCCAAAGGGCACAGGCAAGGACAGGCTGACAACGCCAGTCAGGAAGCACGTACGAGTCGTGCCGGAGACACCATCTGGGATGCTGATACCAGAGCCACCCTAGCTTTGGGCTGTGAGAGAACAAAGCTCTCATGTGTCCCCAGGCCAGGGCCAAGGGACAGTCAGCACCCCAACTACTAAATGACCAAAGGAAGACATGCTTCTCCTCAGGCTCCAACTTTGGGAAAGGGTGAAGAGCAAGGAGCAAAAACAACCTGTTAAACGGTAGAGATCACAACGCACGCGTCTGCTTGTGAGCTGGGTCGCCTCCCCGACCGGCGTGTGCTGTCTCCCCTCGCTGCAGGTCTGCCTCCAAGGGGACACCACGCCCATGTACAGACTGGCACCCGCAGAGGGCAGGCCTCCCCCTCCACATCAACACACACCTCAACGTCATCTCAAAGAGTCTAAAGGTTTGTCTCTAAACCAAGATGAAAAGTTAGACCAAACAGAAAGAACACAATCACTTCCCGAAAGATAGTCATAGGCTTTGCTCCCTGAACTGAATTCAGGAAGAGTAATGCGAGTTTGTCTCTGTTATAACTCATTAAACACGTGTATTCGTGGGCCTACTGCGCACTGCACTGCGTGACAGATGCCAGATCAGCCTGAAGCTCCTCACGACAGTTTATTTCTTTCTGAAACACTCATATGGGGTGTGAAATTAAAAACAGCACCAGGTAATGGAACTTCTGAATCCGAGTGGAACAGTTATGGATGGTCCCCCAAAAAAGACAGGTGGAAGGGAAGCCCTAACTGCTGCACCAGCGGTGGGCCTGTGTGGGGAAACGGAGCCTGTCTTTGCAGACGTATCAGTTAATGTGAGATTATACCAGAGGCGTGTAGGTTCTGATTCTACGTGGGGTGTCCTTATTAAAGAGGACGAGACACAGAGACAGAATCACACGTGTGTGAAGATACATCTACAAGCCAACAAGTGTCTGGGGCCACCAGAAGCTAGAGGAGAGAAGGAAGGATCTTCCTCTAGAACCTTCAGAGGAGCGTGGCCCTGCTGACATCCTGCATTCTGAGACAATAAACCTCTGCTCCTTAAAGCCACATCTTGTTCCGGCAGCCTCAGAACACTCACAGTGGCTCCCATGTGACACAATGCAGGGTCAGAGGGTTTTCTGGATCTCATGGACGCACGTGTGGACTCACACTGCTTCCCACCATCCATTACCTGCACTTGCTTTGCGTGGACGGCCCGCTCCTTCATTGCCACTGGTGGCGATTGACGCCTTCCAGACTTCTGAGGAGGAGCCGTGGGACTCGCCAGGGGAGCTTCAATTCTTTCTGAACCTTCGTTTAAAATCTCTCCAAAACCCGAGCCGTCACCTAAAAACAAACACCACAAAATTAGGGTCTAAATGGAGATTCCCTTGTGGCCTTCCCCAAGGACCCCCGCGGGGGGTCGCTGAGACATACATCCACGGAGATCTGTGGTTGTTGTGCTGCTCAAAGAATTTTCCTCATGTTATTTCTTAAGAACAGCAGTTAAACCACCCATCAAAGGGGGTGACGGTATTTTTACATAGCACAATTGAGATGAAAATAGCAGAAAAACTATAATTACTATCTTCAGAGAAGTAAGAAGGGGCATATTACCCATGAAACGAACAGGAAGCTATAAAAGAAAGGACTGGTCAGAGAACAAGAAAGAACCGTTAGAAATTAAAAATATGAGAGCAGAAAGAAAAGCATTCAGTATGAAGGTTAGGAAGTAGAGTTTTAAAAGTCTCTCAGAAATGAGAACAAATACAGAGAAAAAGAGAAAAATAATCAGTCCGGGAGTCCAATATTTGATTAGTGAGAATTACAGAAAGAGAGAAGAGAGAAAATCGTGGGAGAAATCGTCACAGGAAATTACAAGAGGATTCTCGGAGCTGTGGGCATGCAGAGCTGTGGGTGCTCAGTGGAGACGAGGGGCAGGGTACGGGGCAACATAGGTGGGAGGCAGGAGGGATGAGGACGGGATGTGGCCAGGACATGGGGCACAACTCTGCTAGAACTATGTTCAACAAGAAACATTCAACGATGTTAAACTTAACAGGAAGTGTAGACAGGGCTCTCTTACGAAGATGAGGGGAGGGACGGGTGTGTCAGTGTACTGACAGGGAGTTAAACATGATTACTTAAGTGGCAGATGTATGTTACGTATGCTTCTGAAATGGTCTCAAACCACTCATAATGTGAACTTAGATGACATGAGAAATAGAAGTATGTTGTAAACAACCTCTCTAAGTTTGCCTTCTATCTGCATGCTGTGATAAAAAAGATGTAACATATAGCTAAATTAATGTAAGTTGGCCTTGAGACACAGGTAAGTTGTAAACAATCTCCCTAATTTCTGACCTTGAAGAAAAGATGTAACATGCTAATCTTTGCTAGACATAACGTCAACTGGTCCTTAGCATGTGAGTCCAGATAAGAAAATCACATACAAACCCTAGACTTGTGCTCACTCAACGAGAGAAGACGGGCAGAACATCTCTCTCTAGACTGATTCTCTTCAAAAGCTGAGACCATGCCAGAGACGAAGACTGTGACAGACCACTGCTGCTGACTTGTACTCCAGCTACGAGGGACCTCCACTGAGCACAAGCCATGGTCAAGCCTTCCTCCCAAGACCACTCATTAAAGGTAAATGCCTTCAGTCTAAAGATTCGGATTCTAATCATTGGACTAACCTTATATTGCCCTAATTCTCTGCTCCTAATTGAACATCTTGTGGTCTTACCTGTGTACCTTGCCATGACTACCTTTCAATAAACTAAACGAGTTTATGTATGATAAACCTGCACATTTCTGTACTTATTTTAAAATAAAATGTCATGGGACAATGCGATTTTAAGGTGAAGTAAACACTACAACAGATTTTGAGAGCTGGAAGTGGACGTCTCCAGGGAACAGCCATCAAGAGTGGGGCATTGAACGAAGACCACTGTGCCTGCAAAAACCTTACAGAATCATTCAACTTCTTAAACTACATTCTTATTACTTAGAATACACAAAAATTAAAATTAAAATGTTGCTTGCCCTATTGTGCAAGCACATGATAAAATTCCCAATGAACTGTATAGATTTCACTGTGGCCATGTTTTCAAACGCACTGACTGGGCCAATTATGATTTTTTAAAAAATCAAAATGCCTCAGAAAGCGATGAACTTGTAAAAAGCTAACAAGCAATGGTAGAAGAAAACATGAGATTGGAGAATCACCATTTGGCAGCC